GAGTACGTTATGCCGAATTTCGGGCAAAACAAAAGATATAAAGGAACTTTTGTGCACAATTTACATTAAATCGGAGAAAAATATGTATGGGAGCTATATTTAAATCTGAACCGATTTTCTCGAAACTTAGCACACATCGCACTAGACGCAATTGAGTACGTTATGTCGTGCAAATCGAAAGATATATATGGGGACTTTGGGCCTTGGTCCAAATAAATGAGATGTGTCAAATTTCATCCAATTCGGATCATAAATGTGACCTGTACTTTGTTTACAATATAACATCTACAGAAGGACGAACGGACATGCATAAATCGACTCTGAAAGTGAATCTGTGCATATTCTCAAAAGGAACCATGGGTCTATCTCGATTATTTTTGCCTGTTACAAACATATGCACAAAGACATAATACCCTGTACCACAGTGTGGTGAAGGGTATAACAATGGGTGTGTTTAGGAGCTGAGGGCGGTATTTAATAGGGTATTATTATGGATAGTTCATTGATGACAAAAAGATACAAAGTGGATAAAGAATTATCACTATCAAAAAACTCTTAAAAGTGCATTTTCATTTAAGGTGTTTGGACTTGGACCTTCTATTGCTTTGATTTTCATCAATTAAAAAAATGGGTGATTTTTTGTTTTTATTTTTGTTTTTTTCTTGGGTTATGAAATTATTAAATATATATTTTTAATAATCTAATTCGTTGTTAGGAATAAGGGGGGTTAATAATATAATTAAAAAAACTTAAAAATAAAAAAAACTAGTAATTAACAAAAGTAATTTTTTTACAAAGAAAAAATAAAAAAATAAAAATATTTATATGAAACGTACATTAAACAGAAAAAGAACGCCACAGAGATTTTTCGTTTTTTGAATCCAACTAAATTTGTAATAGTTGTTGTGGTTGTAAAAATACAATAAAATTTGCAAAATAAAAATAATATTATATAACACAAAGGGGTATTAATTATTACAGCTTGCCTAGGAGGGTAGAACAAAAAAGACAGTATTGAAATTAAAATCTTAAAAGAAAAATTATTTATATAATTTTGTTATTTTAATTTCAGTTTTTTTTCGTTATCACTAAAAAAAATCTTATAAATGTTAAACATTTGTTTTTTTTTTAATTTTCTTTTTTCAGTTTTGTTTCTGGTATCGTATATAAAAAATTGCTGTTTTGTTTTTTTTTTCATTTACGTTTTGGTTGTTTTTTCATTATGTTATTTTTTTAAATTAAAAACAAAAAATAAAATAAAACATAAACGTTTTAAATATGTATTTTGATTTTTTGTTTACATAATTGTTGGGGGGGAGGGGAGAAGAGGGTGAGAGTTTTTTTATATATGGTGGTTGTGGTTAGTTGTTGTTGTTATCTTTTCTTAGGATATCGAATATTTCGGTTATCGTTTCATATCTTGAAAATGTTCGTCTATTTTACATTTCATTGCTATTATTTTTTGTTGTTGTTGTTTTTAGCGACACAAATAAATGAATAATTTTTAATGTTGTTGTTTTTGTTGTCATTATTATCAAGAAAACAAACACATAATATTGCTGCTGCTGCTGATGCTGCTGCTGCTAAAGTAAAATCTAAAAATCCTTTTCAATTTACTACCATCTGTATGATGCAACTGCTGTTTGTTGTTGTAGAGGTTGTAGTTGTTGTTGTTGTGGTTGTTGTTTTCCTTATTAGTATCCATCCATTGCCAATTTGCCTGCCAAACTCAAATATTCAATTTATATATAGCCGCAAAGACATGTACCAACAAAAGCGATGCCACCAATATCGTCAAGATAATCAGGATAATTGTCGAAAATATATACCATCAGTCCGTGGGGCCTTTACACAGCAGCTTCCGTGCAAAGCCAATGGCCGAATCTCACAAAATCTCACAGCATCGACAATAACGTGGTCGTTGTCCAGTGGTAACTGGTGGCGGTGTAACTGGGGCAAAGTACGCATGAACTTTTATATTTGGTAAATGTTGCTGTGTGTGGTGAAGAAGAAGAAGAAAGATGAAAAGATAATTAGAAGGGAAATTAAAATGACAAAAAAAAAACAACAACAACAAAAGGGAGACTGTTTGTGAAATTAAGACAATCAAAGGTACCAAAAAGAGACCTATACACACTGTCAAGGAATATTTGCAGCAGACGGAGGGGATGGAGACTTTAATAGAAGGCAGTCTTAATAGGGGATTTGGAGGCAGTCTTTATGTAGGAGTTGGGGGCAGTCTATATTGACGAGCTAAAGGGATTCTTCATAGGATATCTGAAGGGAGTCTCTATAGCCGTGCTGAATGGCATCTGTATAGATAAGCTGAAGGGAGTCTATCATAGACGAGCTGAAGGGAGTCTATCATAGACGAGCTGAAGGGAGTCTATCATAGACGAGCTGAAGGGAGTCTATCATAGACGAGCTGAAGGGAGTCTATTATAGACGAGCTGAAGGGAGTCTATCATGGACAAGCTGAAGGGAGTCTATCATAGACGAGCTGAAGGGAGTCTATCATGGACAAGCTGAAGGGAGTCTATCATAGACGAGCTGAAGGGAATCTTTCATACACGATCTGAAGGGAGTTTTTCATACACGAAATGAAAGGAGTCTTTCATAGACGAGCTTAAGACAATTTGAAGGAAGTCCTTTAGATGAGGTGAAGTCGTCTTTAGCCAAAAAAAAAAAAAAAAAAAATTAATAATTATTTAAAAAATCCACGCCTTATATAGATCCCGAAAACAATTATTTAAAAAATCCACGCCTTATATAGATCCCGAAAACAATTATTTAAAAAATCCACGCCTTCTATAGACTCCGAAAAAAATTATTTAAAAACTCCACGCCTTCTATAGACTCCGAAAAAAATTATTTAAAAAATCCACGCCTTCTATAGACACCGAAAAAAATTATTTAAAAACGCCTTATATAGATCCCGAAAACAATTATTTAAAAAATCCACGCCTTATATAGATCCCGAAAACAATTATTTAAAAAATCCACGCCTTATATAGATCCCGAAAACAATTATTTAAAAAATCCACGCCTTCTATAGACTCCGAAAAAAATTATTTAAAAACTCCACGCCTTATATAGATCCCGAAAACAATTATTTAAAAAATCCACGCCTTCTATAGACTCCGAAAAAAATTATTTAAAAACTCCACGCCTTCTATAGACTCCGAAAAAAATTATTTAAAAAATCCACGCCTTCTATAGACACCGAAAAAAATTATTTAAAAAATCCACGCCTTCTATAGACACCGAAAAAAATTATTTAAAAAATCCACGCCTTCTATAGACACCGAAAAAAATTATTTAAAAAATCCACGCCTTCTATAGACACCGAAAAAAATTATTTAAAAAATCCACGCCGATTATAGGTCAATAAAAAAATTATTTAAAAAATCCACGCCTTCTATAGACACCGAAAAAAATTATTTAAAAAATCCACGCCTTCTATAGACACCGAAAAAAATTATTTAAAAAATCCACGCCTTCTATAGACACCGAAAAAAATTATTTAAAAAATCCACGCCTTCTATAGACACCGAAAAAAATTATTTAAAAAATACGCCTTCTATAGACACCGAAAAAAATTATTTAAAAAATCCACGCCTTCTATAGACACCGAAAAAAATTATTTAAAAAATCCACGCCTTCTATAGACACCGAAAAAAATTATTTAAAAAATCCACGCCTTCTATAGACACCGAAAAAAATTATTTAAAAAATCCACGCCTTCTATAGACACCGAAAAAAATTATTTAAAAAATCCACGCCTTCTATAGACACCGAAAAAAATTATTTAAAAAATCCACGCCTTCTATAGACACCGAAAAAAATTATTTAAAAAATCCACGCCTTCTATAGACACCGAAAAAAATTATTTAAAAAATCCACGCCTTCTATAGACACCGAAAAAAATTATTTAAAAAATCCACCCCTTCTATAGACACCGAAAAAAATTATTTAAAAAATCCACGCCTTCTATAGACACCGAAAAAAATTATTTAAAAAATCCACGCCTTCTATAGACACCGAAAAAAATTATTTAAAAAATCCACGCCTTCTATAGACACCGAAAAAAATTATTTAAAAAATCCACGCCTTCTATAGACACCGAAAAAAATTATTTAAAAAATCCACGCCTTCTATAGACACCGAAAAAAATTATTTAAAAAATCCACGCCTTCTATAGACACCGAAAAAAATTATTTAAAAAATCCACGCCTTCTATAGACACCGAAAAAAATTATTTAAAAAATCCACGCCTTCTATAGACACCGAAAAAAATTATTTAAAAAATCCACGCCTTCTATAGACACCGAAAAAAATTATTTAAAAAATCCACGCCTTCTATAGACACCGAAAAAAATTATTTAAAAAATCCACGCCTTCTATAGACACCGAAAAAAATTATTTAAAAAATCCACGCCTTCTATAGACACCGAAAAAAATTATTTAAAAAATCCACGCCTTCTATAGACACCGAAAAAAATTATTTAAAAAATCCACGCCTTCTATAGACACCGAAAAAAATTATTTAAAAAATCCACGCCTTCTATAGACACCGAAAAAAATTATTTAAAAAATCCACGCCTTCTATAGACACCGAAAAAAATTATTTAAAAAATCCACGCCTTCTATAGACACCGAAAAAAATTATTTAAAAAATCCACGCCTTCTATAGACACCGAAAAAAATTATTTAAAAAATCCACGCCTTCTATAGACACCGAAAAAAATTATTTAAAAAATCCACGCCTTCTATAGACACCGAAAAAAATTATTTAAAAAATCCACGCCTTCTATAGACACCGAAAAAAATTATTTAAAAAATCCACGCCTTCTATAGACACCGAAAAAAATTATTTAAAAAATCCACGCCTTCTATAGACACCGAAAAAAATTATTTAAAAAATCCACGCCTTCTATAGACACCGAAAAAAAATATTTAAAAAATCCACGCCTTCTATAGACCCCGAAAAAAAATATTTAAAAAATCCACGACTTCTATAGACCCCGAAAAAAAATATTTAAAAAATCCACGCCTTCTATAGACCCCAAAAAAAATTATTTAAAAAATCCACGCCTTCTATAGACCCCGAAAAAAATTATTTAAAAAATCCACGCCTTCTATAGACCCCGAAAAAAATTATTTAAAAAATCCACGCCTTTTATAGACCCCGAAAAAAATTATTTAAAAAATCCACGCCTTCTATAGACCCCGAAAAAAATTATTTAAAAAATCCACGCCTTCTATAGACACGGAAAAAAATTATTTAAAAAATCCACGCCTTCTATAGACACGGAAAAAAATTATTTAAAAAATCCACGCCTTCTATAGACACGGAAAAAAATTATTTAAAAAATCCACGCCTTCTATAGACACGGAAAAAAATTATTTAAAAAATCCACGCCTTCTATAGACACCGAAAAAAATTATTTAAAAAACCCACGCCTTCTATAGACACGGAAAAAAATTATTTAAAAAATCCACGCCTTATATAGATCCCGAAAACAATTATTTAAAAAATCCACGCCTTATATAGATCCCGAAAACAATTATTTAAAAAATCCCCGCCTTCTATAGACCCCCAAAAAAAATATTTAAAAAATCCACGCCTTCTATAAACCCCGAAAAAAATATTTAAAAAATCCACGCCTTCTATAGACCCCCCAAAAAAAAATATTTAAAAAATCCACGCCTTCTATAGACCCCGAAAAAAGTTATTTAAAAAATCCACGCCTTCTATAGACCCCGAAAAAAATTATTTTAAAAATCCACACCTTCTATAGACACCGAAAAAAATTATTTAAAAAATCCACGCCTTCTATAGACACGGAAAAAAATTATTTAAAAAATCCACGCCTTCTATAGACACCGAAAAAAATTATTTAAAAAATCCACGCCTTCTATAGACACGGAAAAAAATTATTTAAAAAATCCACGCCTTCTATAGACACGGAAAAAAATTATTTAAAAAATCCACGCCTTCTATAGACACGGAAAAAAATTATTTAAAAAATCCACGCCTTCTATAGAAACGGAAAAAAATTATTTAAAAAATCCACGCCTTCTATAGACACCGAAAAAAATTATTTAAAAAATCCACGCCTTCTATAGACACGGAAAAAAATTATTTAAAAAATCCACGCCTTCTATAGACACGGAAAAAAATTATTTAAAAAATCCACGCCTTCTATAGACACGGAAAAAAATTATTTAAAAAATCCACGCCTTCTATAGACACGGAAAAAAATTATTTAAAAAATCCACGCCTTCTATAGACACCGAAAAAAATTATTTAAAAAATCCACGCCTTCTATAGACACGGAAAAAAAATATTTAAAAAATCCACGCCTTCTATAAACCCCGAAAAAAATATTTAGAAAATCCACGCCTTCTATAGACCCCCCAAAAAAAAATATTTAAAAAATCCACGCCTTCTATAGACCCCGAAAAAAGTTATTTAAAAAATCCACGCCTTCTATAGACCCCGAAAAAAATTATTTTAAAAATCCACGCCTTCTATAGACACCGAAAAAAATTATTTAAAAAATCCACGCCTTCTATAGACACGGAAAAAAATTATTTAAAAAATCCACGCCTTATATAGATCCCGAAAACAATTATTTAAAAAATCCACGCCTTCTATAGACCCCAAAAAAAATATTTAAAAAATCCACGCCTTCTATAAACCCCGAAAAAAATATTTAAAAAATCCACGCCTTCTATAGACCCCCCAAAAAAAAATATTTAAAAAATCCACGCCTTCTATAGACCCCGAAAAAAGTTATTTAAAAAATCCACGCCTTCTATAGACCCCGAAAAAAATTATTTTAAAAATCCACGCCTTCTATAGACACCGAAAAAAATTATTTAAAAAATCCACGCCTTCTATAGACACCGAAAAAAATTATTTAAAAAATCCACGCCTTCTATAGACACCGAAAAAAATTATTTAAAAAATCCACGCCTTCTACAGACCCCGAAAAATATTATTTAAAAAATCCACGCCTTCTATAGACCCCGAAAACTATTATTTAAAAAATCCACGCCTTTAAAAGGCCTTTATAGACGAGCTGAAAGTTCAAGGTAGTCTTTATAGACGGGCTGAAAGTAGTCTTTCGTAGACGACTCTTAGTAGACTATCACTTTTGTTGCCTTTCATTTCACAAATAGTTATCCTAATCCCTGATTTTTTTCTCGTGGTTACCTTTAGTTTGCGTATTGCTGCTCTTGTAATTAATTGGCAGTCAAATAGCTCAATTCTTTGTAAATTATGACAAGAAACTAAATGCTCTAATGTACGATCAGTGATTAATGGACAATTATCCAATTCGAGGACGGATAAACTTTCCGCAGCACAGCTACCAGCTGCCAGTTGGCGTATACCATCATCGGTTATCAGTTCACAATGCGATAGAAACTGCAAACAAAAACGGAAAACAACAACAATTAAAATATAAAATTCTGAAGGAATACTTCACCCCTTACCAATTTTTCTAAACTTGGACAACCGGTGGCCAAGTGTGCCAGCGTTAAATCAGTTATCTGATTACACTCCTCCAAATCCATACGTTCCAAATATTTACAATTTTTACCCAATGCCTGAAAGCCTAAATCGGTGAAATTACGACAACCGGATACCTCCAGCGTATTCAAATAGGGATTATTTTGTGAGAGTGCCATCAGTGAGAGATCGGTCAGTTCGGCACATTTGGATACGCACAATTTTTGTAGATTGTGACAATTGCTGGCGATTTGTCGTATCGATGAATCGGTGATGGTCTGGAAGGTGAGGAGAGATGACAATTTATTAAAAGAATCTGGTGATGAAAATAATTTCGATACTTACCTCACAGCTGTGTAAATTGAGCACCATTAGATTGGGACAATATTTAGCCAAACACGTTATGGCATTGTCATTAACCTGCTTACAACCTTTGCTGCAGAATTTACGCAAATGCTTACAACCACGGGCTAAAGCTTCGACACCATTTTCCGTTATTAAATGACACCATGATATATTGATTTCTTGTAGATTCTGGAAAAGAATACAAAGAAGAAAACGATAAACAAATTATTTAAAAAATCCACGCCTCATACAGACCCCCGAAAAAAAATATTTAAAAAATCCACATTTTTTTTGGGGTCTGTATGAGCCCCAAAAAAAAAATTATTTGAAAAAAAAAATTAAAAATCCACGCCTCATACAGACCCCCGAAAAAAATTATTTAAAAAAAAAAATTAAAAATCCACGCCTCATACAGACCCCCGAAAAAAATTATTTAAAAAAAAAATTAAAAATCCACGCCTCATACAGACCCCCGAAAAAAATTATTTAAAAAAAAAATTAAAAATCCACGCCTCATACAGACCCCCCAAAAAAATTATTTAAAAAATCCACGCCTCATACAGAACCAAAAAAAAAAAAAATATTTAAAAAATCCACGCCTCATACAGAACCAAAAAAAAATATTTAAAAAATCCACGCCTCATGCAGACCCCCCAAAAAATATTTAAAAAATCCACGCCTCATGCAGACCCCCCAAAAAAATATTTAAAAAATCCACGCCTCATACAGAGCCCCGAAAAAAATTATTAAAAAAATTCACGCCTCATACAGACCCCCGAAAAAAATTATTTAAAAAATCCACGCCTCATACAGACCCCCGAAAAAAATTATTTAAAAAATTCACGCCTCATACAGACCCCCGAAAAAAAATTATTTAAAAAATCCACGCCTCATACAGACCCCCAAAAAAATTATTTAAAAAATCCACGCCTCATACAGACCACCAAAAAATTATTTAAAAATCCACGCCTTATGTAGACCCTCTAAAAAAATATTTAAAAAATCCACGCCTCATACAGACCCACAAAAAACGATTTAAAAAATCCACGCCTCATAAAGACCCCAAAAAAAAATTATTTCAAAAAATCCACGTCTCATACAGATTCTCTCTATAATCTATAAATAAAACCCATAATAAGTCCTCTTTGAGGTGCTGACCACTTCTGTAAAAAAAATTCCTCTAAACAAACAGCCTCCTTAAATTTTCATTGATAAAAAATGCTATTCAATTGACAAGAAGAAATCCTCCAAAATAATGTGGGTAGATGATAAATTAAACAGCTGATTTTTCTGGAAGAGAAAGGTCACTTCACTCTCACTCTCTTTTTAATAATCATTCAGAGTGACAACAGAGATGACTAGGAGGCTTTCTCATAGTCATTTGTGTTTTCATTTAATTGGTGAATAAAAAAAAGAAACATAATATACCCCCTCCCCATTATCATACACACACATACATAAATGCAAAGGAAAAAATCACTTGCCACGGCTTGAGCAACAGTGCTATGTTTACAAACACAGAGAGGCAAAGTAGAAGAGAGCCAAAAAAAGACAACAACTAAAAATGGGCCAATGTAAAATGAATCTATTCTCCCCCCCTCTCCCCTTTATATGGAAAGAAAATAAAATTACAAATACAAAGTTCAAACATGATAATTTTTGTTGGGGAATTTTTGCACAACAACAACAGAAAACCCGAAGCTGAGAGACGAAAAGGTAAAGGGCATTACATATTATGTTAATGTGTGTGGGTGGGTGGACTGAACACAACATGACATATAGCAGGCTTGGGCAGAGAAGTATAAATTTGCATTCTCACACACTTGTCAATAGGTGTGTGTGTGTGTCAATGGTTCAGTTCAGTTGTTTCAATTAATTGTATTTACTTTTGCCAAAAAGCACGCGTGCCTGGGTTTGCCTGATGTGGACAGGCTTGGGTAGAGAATAACAAATTTGCTTTCTCACACATTTATCAATGGGTGTGTGTGTCACTTCTTTCAATTGAATGTATTTACTTTTACGAAAGAACACGCGTGCTGGGGTTTGCCTGATGGGGACCTATAAAGAAAAATACCAACAGAGAGAGTGTGATACAGAAATGGGGGAGAGAGAGCATCCCTATGATTGGGGGTGTTGCAAATAAATAGGCTTAAGGAAGGTTATTGTAATTTTTGTTGTATACAACTCTCTCTATTTTATGTAAAATGTTGACCTCGTCGTTACGACATACACACACACACTCTGATATATACACCATGTAATGTTTTGTATACAAGTGTGGCGCTCTCTATCTCTCTCTTCATGTATAGAGCGCACAAAGGGGACATGTAAATAAAAGGATACGAACTATAACAACAAACAAATAGCGAAGTGCACTTGACCAAAGTAGGCCAACACAGACAGACACTCAACACACACACACATACACACAAATAGACTATTTATTATGAAAAGAGAAATGAGAATGAGGAGATGTCAGTGAAATAAGGACATCAAAACAATTTTAAAAATGGCACACTTGGCCAAAAAAAGTAGTGTTTTGAAAATGAAAAGAAAAGGAGAAACAAAAACAGAAATGAATGAATAAAATGAAAACCAAAAGCAAAACAAACAAAAACTCATGCTCTTGAGACATATAAATAATGAGAGCAACTGAGTAAAACACATCGTAATTATCTCGCAAATAAAAAAACAGGCGAAACGAAAACAAATTGGAAATTTTCCGCTCTTTTAGGGCCCCCAAAAGAAATGCAATTTTGTATTTGTTGCTAATTCTTTGAAATAAATGGAAAGTGAGAAAGAGAGGAATAAGAAGCAGAATGAAAACAAGAAAAAGGGGGCTTGTTTTTTGGGTATATATTTTTATTTTCCTTTTTTTGTATTTCCATTCAAGGTTTGTTTATATTGCGAAAAACATAAAGTGTAAGGAAGAAGAAAAGAAAATTACAAAACTGTTGTTTGTTGTTGTGGGGTTGGCAACACCACATAATAATCATAGAGAAAAAGAGGCATAAAACAATCACCCCACCATCACAAACCAACAACAAACAAAACTTTACATTTACAAAATGAAAATGAAATTTCAAACCCCCTGCCGTCGTGTTGCACATTGCAAGAGAACATCAACAACAAAAACAAATGGTGTGAAAAACGTTGAAAAAAAAAAGAAAAATCAATGGCAATTTTCCTAATCACAATTTTTGTTTTCTGTTGGCAAATACAATAAAATTGAAATCTATTGTAATGCTATAAGACATGTGGAATTGGGAACAGACACGCATGGACATTTTTGGAATTCAATAGGGAAAGCTAAGGGACTGCAGTATTTATGAAAAAAAACAACTATTGGTAAATTTGCAAAGACGGAACTACTATGAAATATAGACCGAAATATAGGCTTCTGCTAGATTTTTTTAACTCCTCCAAAAATTTTGGAAAAAAATTAAAAACTAGAAACCACATTGATTATTTTTTGAGCGCCTAAAAATATGCATTAATTTTTATTTTTACTACAAATCAATTTTTCCCACGCAAATTAATTCGTCCGAAAATAAATATTAAAAACATTATTAAAAATGTATGTAAATTTTTTGAGCGCCTAAAAATATACTTTAATTTTTATTTTTAATAAAAATCAATTTTTTCCAAAACAAATTAATTCGTCTACAAATAAATACTAAAAAGGTCATTAATTTTTTTAATTTTATTTTTTTTTTAATTTTATGCTATGCTTAATATGATTAAAAAATTAATTTTTTTCAACGTATAAATTAATTCTTTTGAAAAAATACTAAAATCTTCATTAGAAATTTATTAAAATGTTTTTAAATTTTTTTGAGCGCCTATAAATATGCTTCAGTTTTTATTTTTACTAAATATCAATTTTTTTCAGCAAATAAATTAATTCTTTTGAAAAAAAAAATACTAAAAACTTCATTAGAAAATTATGAAAAAAGTATTGAAATTTTTAAGCACCTAAAAATATGCATCAATTTGTATTTTGACTAAAAATCCATTTTTTCGCAACATAAATTAATTTGTATAAAAATAAATACTAAAAACTTCTTTAGAAATTTATTAAAAATTATTATTTTGCAAAATCAAAAATGTATTTAAATTTTCTGGAGTGCCTAAAAATATGCATCAATTTTAATTCAAATTCAATTTGTCCATCATATAAATTAATTCTTTTGAAAAAAATAATAAAAAAATCATTAGAAAATTATTAATCATGCATTTAATTTTTTCCAGCGCCTAAAAATATGCTTCAATTTTTATTTTTACTAATTTTTTTTTTTTACTTTAAAATTAATTAATTTTAAAATAAATACCTACAAGGACATAAAATACTAAACTACAGCCTTTTTGGATGGAAAACATACTCAAGCTCCCCTAAATAGGGAAATTTTGAAGGTACCTTTATGCGGGTCTAACCCTTAAAAATGACGCAATATTCATTTTTGGTGGAATTATTTGCTACCCAATAAGGACTAAAAAACACTAAATTACAGCCAATTCTAATGGAAAAAGTGCTGAAGCTACCCCCAAAATACCGACATTTTGGATGTCTGGGAGTACCGTTATCTGGAGACTACCTGAAAAAGTCGACCGATATTGATAATTTTTGGTAGGAAGATTAGATAAGGACCTAAAACACTTAATTACAGTTAATTCGGTTGATAAACATGCTAAAGCTTCCCAAAATATCGAAATAGTTGAGGTACTCTTATATAGGGTCTAACCTAAAAATTGAACTGACATTGATAAGTGCTCAAGCTCCCCAAAATACCGACATTTTGGATGTGCCCTTATTTTTTTTTGGTAGGAAGATTATATAAGAACCTAAAACACTTAATTACAGTTAATTTGGTTGAAAAACATACCCAATCTCCCCAAAATACCTAATATCTGGGAGTACCGTTATATGGGGACTACTTGAAAAAGTCGACCGATATTGATAATTTTTGTTAGAAAGATTACTTACACAATAATGACCTAAAATAATAAATTACACTCTATTCGGATCGAAAACATACCCAAGCTCCCTAAAATATCGAATATTTACGGATACCGTTATATGGGGGCTACCCAAAAAAGTGAACCAATATTGATAATTTTTGGTGGGAGGATTTTCTATCCAATGAGAATCCAAAATACCAAATTACAGACAATTCGGTTGGAAAACATACTCAAGCTCCCTAAAATATCGAATATTTACGGATAACGTTATATGTGAACTACCCTAAAAAGTGAACCAATACAGATGATTTTTGGTGGGAACATTTGTTACCCAAAGAGAACCCAAAATACCAAATTACAGCCAATTCGGTTGCAAACTCTATCCAAGCTCCCCAAAATATCGAAATTTGTGAGATACCCTTATATGGGGGCTACCCTAAAAAGTAAAACAATACTGATAATTTTTTGTGGGAACATTTGCTACCCAAAGAGAACCCAAAATACGAAATTACAGCAAATTCGGTTCGTATATATGCTCAAGCTCCCCTTAATACAGAAAATAGGTACTACATGAAAAAGTCGACCAATATTGATAATTTTTGGTCGGGAGATTTTCTACCCAATGAGAGCCCAAAATACCAAATTACAGCCAATTCGGTTGGAAAACATACTCAAGCTCCCTAAAATATCGAATATTTACGGATACCGTTATATGGGGGCTACCCTAAAAAGTGAACCAATACTGATAATTTTTGGTGGGAACATTTGCTACCCATAGAGAACCCAAAATACCAAATTACAGCCAATTCGGTTGGTATATACGCTCAAGCTCCCCCAAATACCGAAAATTGGTGCTACATGAAAAAGTGGACCTATATTGATAAATTTTGGTCGGAAGATTTTCTACCCAATGAGAATCCAAAATACCAAATTTCAGCCAATTCGGTTGCAAAAAAGCACAAGTTCCCCAAAATAACGAAATTTGAGAAGTATTTTTATATGGGGGCCATACCTGTTAACGGATCGATGTTGATAATTTTTGGTAGGGAGATTTGCTACCCATAGAGAACACAAAATATCAAATTTCAGCCAATTCGGTTGAAAAACTTCCCCAAATTTCCCAAAAATACCGCGAGTTGGTAGGTTCCGTTCAAAGGGGTCTACCCTGAAACTTCTGACAATATTAATAATATTTGGTAGGGAAATTCTCTACCCAATGAGAATCCAAAATATAAATTTACAGTCAATTTGTTTAAGAACTCACCAAAATACCACAATTCCCGTAGGTCCCGTTCAAGGGGTCTACCCTGAAACTTGGAACCATATTCATAATTTTCGGTAGGGAGATTCTCCACCTAATGAGAATCCAAAATATAAATTTACAGCCATTTTGGATGGAAAAATGCTCAAGCTCTTCAAAATATCGATTTTGGATGTACCCATATATGGAGGCTATACCTAATCATGGGCCGTTATTGATAATTTTTGGTAGGAAGATTTGTTATCCAATGAAAACTCATAATACCAAACTACAACCAATTCGGTTGCAAAACATGCTCAATCTCTTCAATATTCCGACATTTTGAAGGAACCTTTATATGGGAGCTACCCTAAAAAATTAACCAATATTGTTAATTTTTGGTTGAAACATTCGCTACCCTGTGAGAACCCATAATACCAAATTACAGCCAATTTGGTTGGAAAATATGCTCAAGCTCCCTAAAATACCACAATTTAACAGGTACCTTTATATAGGAGGGTACTCTAAAAAGTGGACCACTATAGCTTATTTTTAGTTGGGAGATTTTTCACCCAATGAAAATACAAATTGCCAAATTACAGCCTATTCGATTGAAAAGACGTGCCCAATCTCCCCAAAATAGCGACATTTTGGAGTTACCGCTTAAGGAGGTCTACCCTGAAACTTGAGTAAAAATAAATCAATTACGATAGGGAAATTTTTCCATTCAATGACAACCCAAAAAAAGTACCCAAACTTCCCAAAATGCAAAAAAAAATCGAAGAAAAAAGAACCGGTTTTCTAAATTTTTGAACCGAATATTCATATAACAAAACCGGTTTTAACACCCATGTGAATATCATTAAAAAGCCAGTAAACCAAAATGTAAAATTTATTGAATCGGACTATTATTTGTTTTATTACCTGCAGAATATCCGGTTCAAAAATTTCGAAAACCGGTTCTTTTTTCTTCGATTTTTTTTTGCATTTTGGGAAATTTGCGTACTGTATTTTGAGTTCTCATTGAAATGAAAAAAAATCGAAGAAAAAAGAACCGGTTTTCTAAATTTTTGAACCGGATATTCAGATAATAAAACCGGTTTTAATACCCATGTGAATATCATTAAGAAGCTAGTAAACCAAAATGCAAAATTTATTGAATCGGACTATTATTGGTTTTTTTACCTGCAGAATATCCGGTTCAAAAATTTCGAAAACCGGTTCTTTTTTCTTCGTTTTTTTCCATTTTGGAAAACTTTCGTATTGTATTTTTGGTTCTCATTGAATGGAAAATTTTTATATCGTAAATTATTTATTTTAACCGAAGTTTCAGGGTAGTCCTCCTTTAGCTGTAACCCCAAAATGTCGTTATTTTGGGGAGATTCGGGCACGTTTTTTTCAACCGAATAGGCTGTAATTTGGCTTTTGGTATTTTCATTGGGCGAAAAATCTCCCATATATAAGGGTTTTGTAATATGACACGGGTAAAATTTAGAAATCTGTAAAATATCGATTTCTCGTCTTTGAGGACCCCATCTAAAATCTAATGAGCAACATTTTTGTAGAACATTGCTAGGTTAAAAAATCGCATCTTATGATAATTGGAGACCGGTTTAATAAATTAAGGATAAAAAGGAGATGGAAGGAATCGGTTTAGAAGGACAAAATGTTCTATAAAAAAAATTCCTCCCTCATTCGATTTTACTGAAGAAATGTTATCGCCAAAAAATACATACAATAGCTTCAAATGAAAATATACAGGTTATAATCTTCGAGTATAATGAAACATGTTTCCGAACATTGACCTATGGCGATTTTTCCTTCTAGAGTTTTCATAGAGTTTCGCCAATAGGAATTTTCCATCCCCAGATCATGGCCCTGATTTTGTCTCTCAGTATAATCCACATATTGCTTTATAAAAGTTTCACAAGGCCTCTTTGTCAACGCCTCAAGTGCTTCGGGTCGGTTCCGACTTGGCACGTTGCGCACAACAATATGACTTCTATTTCCTGAAAAATATGTTTAGTCCTCCTGTATCTAATATCCTATAATTTTCTTCGCAATTTATGTGGACGTATGATTAATATTAATTCGGAATGTTATTCATACGCACCCAAAGAGAGAGAAAGCAAAAGAGGACATTGTGACGTATGAATATATTCATCATTCATACGCTACAATGTCCTCATTAGCTCCATATCTCTCTCTCTTAGCTCTTGCCATCTGAGGGCAAAATTACTTTGGGTTATACGTTTTTTCCAAATTTGTTTTGAACATTTACCCCTTCCCTATCCTGAGTTCCAATATAAAAATCTAGCCTTAGGTACTTTAAAGTTTATATATTATTGCATCGAAATCGAAGTTTTATTTTTAAACTTTACTTACCGGACAACCATCCGAAATATATTTTAAACTATTATCGGTGATATTAGAACATGATTCTAAATTAAGGGAGGCTAATTTTGAACAATGGCGACTTATCGATTCGGTCGATATATCTGTTATTCGATTGCATTCCGATAAATCCAACTGTTCTATGTTGTGGCAGTAGTCGGCTAAAGTTCTGCACAAAAAGACAGGGGAAACAAAATCGAGGAATTAGTAAAAGAAAAATTCATTTCAATATCGAAAAGGACATTTGGATACTCACTGTATTGATTGATCGCCCACAGATTTGCAACCACGCAGCGATAAAAATTTCAAAAATCCTCCACAGCGTTGGGATATATTCTCTATGACGGGACCCTGAAAAAAAAAACAAAAAATTATTTGTAAGTAAAGAATAGTTTGGGGGCGAGAGTGTAGCCATAAGGCCTAGTAAATGTAGGACAGGTCGGGGGAGTAGGACGGTTGTGCCCCCACATACTCAATTTTGTAAACGCATTAGAGCCCCAACTTGCGTCGTTAATAGGGGCCCAGGGGAAAAGCGATGCAAATCGAACCATTTTTTTTTTGCTAAACTGGCAAAAATAAAAAGGGAATGATAGATACCAAGCAACGGCTCTGATTGGATTTTACATGGCGAAGTCCAGGCTTATCTTGGTCCCTTTTTCATCTCAATTGTGGACACTGACCTCCCCGCGGTGTCACCTGGGGTAGGTAATTTCATTATCCGTTGAAATGTGAGCTAATATGTGCCGCAAGTTCACCCATAAAAACTATAAAAAATGGGTTGAGGCGTCGGGTTAGTTGCCCACACTCGGAGAACCCCTCCTACTATGAGAAAGCAAGGAAAAAGAAAACCAAACCCCCCTAATGTTGACGACCATGATCTGCGAATCTGCACATGGAATGTGCGCACGTTGTAAAGGACAGGAGCAGTTCTCGCATTGGCGGATGTACTCAAGAAGTACAAATCCGATATTATTACCTTACAGAAAATGCGATGGAAAGGGACTGGCGTAAGTAAATCAGACGATTACGCACTGGCTGCGGATTTAAAGGAGAATCAAATACCTCGTCTCCAGATTAACTCCAGTAGATGAGCGATGGAACGTGCACATGTTGTACAGGACAGGCACAGTTCTCGCATTGGTGGATGTACTCAAGAAGTACAAATCCGATATTATTGCCTTATAGGAAATGCGATGGAAAGGGACGGTCGTAAGTAAATCAGACGATTACGCACTGTCTGCGGATTTAAAGGAGAATAAAATACCTCGTCTCCAGATTCACTCCAGTAGATGAGCGAATTGTTATAATCCGCATAAAAGCGAAGTTCTTCTACATCAGTCTTATTTGGGCCCATGCTCCGACCGAAGACAAAGATGATCAGACCAAAAATATATTTTACGAGCGCCTAGAAACAGCATATGACCGCTGGCCAGGACATGACATTAAAATTCTGCTAGGAGATTTTAATGCAAAAATCGGAAGGGAAAATATCTTTGGCCCCACTGTCGGAAAATTCAGACTTCATGAAGAAACATCCAACAACGGCATGAGGTTGATTGACTTCGCGGCAGCAAAAAACATGATAGTTAGCAGCACCAGATTCAAGCATCTCGCATATCGATATACACAAGGCCAGTTGGATTTCTCCTGATCAAGCAACGAGAAATCAAATTGATCATATTGTGATAGACGGAAGGCATTCATCCAGTGTTTTAGACGTCCGATCGATCCGAGGAGCGAATATCCATTCGGACCATTACCTTGTAGCGGCCTAGGTTCGCATTCGTCTTAATGCTGCAGCAATGGTGCGATCTAACACACACGGAAATTCGACGTCGAAAAACTGCAAACACAACAGGTAGCCGAGGCCTACTACGCTCAACTTACCCACCTGCTTGACGAAAGCACTTCTTGTCCCGATAATAGTATAGAAGCACAATGGCAAAGACTTGCACACTAGGGTACCAAAAACCACCACCAAGAAACCCATGGTACGATCAGGAGTGTCGTAATACTACCGATGTAAATAAGGCAGCTTATAGGCCAACCCTGCAGACAGTAGCAAAACGTAACGTGATGGAGAATTATCGGGAGAAAAGGAGAGAGGAGAAAGGTGTTTTTAGAAAAAAAGAAAGAAGAAGAAAAACTTGAGCGTGAGCAAATCGAGATGTACAGGAGTTAGAATGAAGTCCCGAATTTTTTTTTTAAACACCAAACCGAAGGTTTTGGTGCAGGCACATCCTCTTGTAGAGATGAAGAAGAAACCCTGGTGACAGATACAGACAGCGTGTTTAGGTTCTGGAAGGAGCATTTTGAAAAGCTTCTGGTATAACTTTAAGTGGCACAAAGTCATCAATTAAAGCCGGAAAGGACCTATCGGAGCCATTCAATACCGAACGAGGATTCAGACAAGGTGACAGTTCGTCATGTGATCTTTTTAATATCCTGCTAGAAAAGGTGAACAGAAATGACACTCTGTACACCGAACAACACCAGTTACTCGCCTACGCCGATGACATCGATATAATGGGTCGAACATTGCGTGCGGTAACAGCCACCTTTGAACAAATTGAGATAGAGTCTGCCAAAGTGGGCTTGCCAGTAAACGGCGAGAAGACCAAGCTGATGGTATCAACGCACAAGACATCCAGTAGACTCAGAACAACTGTGGAACTTGAGAACTACAGCTTCGAGGTAGTCAAAGATTTTATATACCGTGGTACCGCCATAAATAAAACGAATAACATCAGTTCTGAAATTCGGAGAAGAATTGTGATGGCCTATGTAAGCAGCTTAAAAACAAGGCCACCACCCGCCAGACCAAACTCACACTTTACAAGGCGCTGATACTACCCGTCCGTGCTGTTATATGGATCTGAAGCATGGGTACTTGCGCAAGCAGCTGAGGCAGCTCTTGGGGTGTTTGAAAGAAAAATTCTCCGAAAGATAAACGGGTCTGCCAGCCCAAGCTGATGGTATCAACGCACAAGACGTCCAGTAGACCAACGGACCAACTGTGGAACTTGAGAACTACAGCTTCGAGGTAGTTAGGGATTTTATATACCTTGGTACCGCCATAAATAAAACGAATAACATCAGTTCTGAAATTCGAAGAAGAAGAATTGTGATGGCCTACAGATGCTACAATGGTCTAAGTAAGCAGCTTAAAAACAAGGCCACCTTCCGCCAGACCAAACTCACACTTTACAAGACGCTGATACTACCCGTGCTGTTATATGGATCTGGAACATGAGGCAGCTCTTGAGGTGTTTAAAAGAAAAATTCTCCGGGCCGATCTACGCCGACGGTGAATATCGGCGTCGAATGAACCACGAGCTTTACAATTTATACGCGGACCTCGACATAGTCAGTCGTATTAAGCTGCAGCGACTACGATGGCTTGGCCATGTTGTGCGAATGAATGAGAATGCCCTAGCTCAAAAGGCATATAAAAGCGAGCCTACTGATGGTTCCCGTAGAAGGGGAAGGCCACGAATCAGATGGAAAGACCAAGTAGAAAGCAACATCTTGGAACGTGGCCTTTCAAATTGGAGGAGATGCACACAAGACCGATGCGCTTGGGAATCCTTTTTATACCCTTCACCACACTGTGGTACAGGGTATTATGTCTTTGTGCATATGTTTGTAACAGGCAAAAGGAATCGAGATAGACCCATGGTTCCTTTTGAGCATATGCATAGAATCACTTTCTGAGTCGATTTATGCATGTCCGTCTGTCCGTTCGTTTGGCCATGTTAAATTGTAAACAAAGTACAGGTCGCACTTATTATCCGCGAATTGGATGAAATTTGGCACAGCTCATCTATTTGGCCCAAGGACGAACCTTATTGAAATTGGGAAAAATCGGTTCAAATTTAGATATAGCTCCCATATATATTTTCGTCCGATTTAAGGTAAATGGTGCACCAAAGTACCTATATATCTTTCGATTTGTACCAAATTTGACATATCGTACTAAATTAAGTCTAGAGAGATGTGTGTAAAATTTCGTGAAAATCGGTTCAGATTTAGATATAGCTCCCATATGTAGTTTTGTCCGATTTTCAGTAAATGGTGCACCAATGTCCCTATATATCATTCGGTTTGCACGAAATTTGACACAGCGTATTGAATTTGTGTCGAGAACGATGTGTGTGATAAATTTCAAGGAAATCGGTCCAAATTTAGAAATAGCTTCCATATATATTATCGTCCGATTTTATGTAAATGGTGCATCAAAGTCCCTATATATCCTTCGATTTGCATTTGTGAGGATTCAAAGTGGTGAAGGGTATTATATAGTCGGCCCAGTCCGACTTTACTACTGGTTTAAGCTCGGCTTATGGAACAACCGTTCTGTAGCAAGCCAGCTAAGTAAGTAAGTATGGCAAAAATAAAATTGTAATCCATAATGCAGCTCGGACCATCATCACTTCAAATTGACGATGACGAAAATAAAATTTCTTCAGGTTTACAGAATCGACGCAAATCGAGGCTCTGGTGCACGTCGATAAATGAATGATCTAATCGTTTACCTCAATATCACGTTGAAAATCAAATAGATTGACTTTCTGCCAGCAGGATCCATCTAAAGCTAAGATATTCCAATATTTGGAGACCTGGTAAAGGAAAAATAAAAAAAAATAGTTTTTTTAAATATTTCGAAAATTTTGAAAATTAATTTTTTTTCTCTTGTTCTTGTTCTTACTTGTGCACATCTGCATAATGAAACCACATCCAAATATGAAAATATACGTAATAGTATTTCCTTTGGCAGTTGTTTAATAAGTTCATCATCGTTATCGTTTGTATTGAGGAATGTTTGCTGCAAAAGAGAGAGAGAGAGAGAGAGAGAGAGAGAAAATGGAGAAGATGATGATGAAAATTTAAAAAATAAATATTGAAAAAGATATTTTTTTAAAATAATTTATTTAGTTAGTAATAACGAATAAACAAAAAATGAAAAATTTAAATGTGTGTGTGTGAGTATGGTAATGAATAGGTATATCAGGTGTATAAAAGGTGTGAATTTTATTAATAAAAAATAGTTTTGAATTTAAGAAAAATATATATACCTCATCGATAATTCGAAAATATTGAAATTTTTTGTATGTAAAACACAATAAAATATATATTTTAACATTAAAATATAAAGAAAAATTCAAATTTTCATTTAAAAATCCAATTTTTTCTATGTTCGAATTTTCGAACATGAACTTCGAATTTTCGAAGTTTGTAATTTTAAAGAAAAATTCAAATTTTCATTGAAAATCAAGTTTTTTTCAATGTTCGAATTTTTGAACATCAACTTCGAATTTTCGAAGTTTGTAATTTTAAGCCAAATTTCATTTTTAAGTAAAATTTTTTAATGTCGAATTTTCAAAATCTAAAAAATATTACACAAAAATAATAATTTTTAAAAAAGAAGAAATTTTAGAGAATCGCATGGCCTATAAATACATTGGACTACTGGGAGGCGAATTCATGCCTTAGTCTTCCCTGTGACTAAGGCATGTGAACTTTTTCGTCTGCAAACCAAGATAAAAACCAGTAAGGAGAGCAGTAAAGTCGGACGGGGCCGACTATATGATGCCCTTCACCACATTGGGTATATTCAACAGATCACACAAAAATAACAATTTTTAGTAAAATGAAATTGGATCCATAAACATGTCATTCTGCAACCGATACTAAATTTTTCATTCGGTCAGATATTGAAGCTATATCTAAATCTGAACTGATTTCAGGAAACTTAACACACATCATTTGAGACTTAATTGATTACGCTCTGTCAAATTTCGTGCAAATCGAAAGATATTAAGGTACTTTGGTATACCATCGGACAAAATACATATGGGAGCTATATCTAAATCTGAACCGATTTTCAGGAAACTTAACACACATCATTCTAGACCTAATTCATTACGCTGTGCCAAATTTCGTGCAAATTGAAAGATATATAGGGACTTTGGTGCACCATTTACATTAAATCGGACGAATATATATATGGGAGCTATATCTAAATCTGAACCGATTTTTCCCAATTTCAATAGGGTTCGTCCTTGGGCCAAATAAGTGAGCTATGCCAAATTTCATCCAAATCGGATAATGCGACCTGTACTTTGGTCACAAAAATACATGGACGGACGGACATGCGTAAATCGACTCAGAAAGTGATTCTATGCATACACATTTTCTTTTAAAAGTAAAATACTTTTTTTTAACATATTCAAAACGAAACGTTTAAATATCATAATTCCATTTGGAAAATAATTTTTTTAGCATATTTCGAATTTTCGAAATTATAATTTCTTTTCGAAATTAATTTTTTAAACATATTTTGAAATTTCGAACATTATTTTCGAACTTTTGAATATTCGAAAGGAAGCGTTTAAACATCATAATTCCTTTTCGAAAATATTTTTTTTTTTTTGGTATTCCGAATTATCGAACATTAATATCGAATTTTTGAAGTTATGGTCGAATTTTCGAATATTCAGAACGAAACGTTTCCACATCATAATTCCTTTTTGAAAATTATTTTTTTTAGCATATTTCGAATTTTCGAACATTATTATCGAATTTTCGAAGTTATGGTAGAATTTTCGAATATTCAAAACGAAACGTTTCTACATCATAATTCCTTTTCGAAAATATATATTTTTTGTTTTTTTGATGTTTCGAATTTTGAACATGATTATCGAATATTCGAAAATTCAAAAAGGAAACGTTTCTATATCAAAATTCCTTTTCGAAAATAATATGTTTTTTTTTTAATATTTCGACTTTTCGAAGTTATGGTAGAATTTTCGAATATTCAAAACGAAACGTTTCTACATCATAATTCCTTTTCGAAAATATTTTATATTTATTTTTTGTTTTGATATTTCGAATTTTGAACATGATTATCGAATTTTCGAACATTAATATCGAATTTCGAACATATTATCGAATTTTCGAACATTATTTTCGAATATTCAAAACGAAACGTTTTAATATCATAATTCCTTTTCGAAAATAATTTTTTTAATATTTCGAATTTTCGAACATTAATATCGAATTTTCAAAGTTATGGTCGAATTTTCGAATATTCAAAACGAAACGGTTTAATATCATAATTCCTTTTCGAAAATAATTTTTTTCATATTTTGTATTTTCGAACATTAATATCGAGTTTTCGAACATAATTATCGAATTTTCGAACATTATTTTCGAATATTCAAAACGAAACGTTTTAATATCATAATTCCTTTTCGAAAATAATTTTTTTTAATATTTCGAATTTTCGAACATTAACATTAATATCGAATTTTCGAAGTTATGGTCGAATTTTCGAATATTCAAAACGAAACGTTTCTGTATCATAATTCATTTTCGAAAATATTTAATTTTTTGATATTTCGAATTTTCGAACACTAATATCGAATTTTCGAAAATTCAAAAAGTAATCTTAAATAGCAAATATTAACTATCTATTTATTATTAACAAATATTTTTCAAAATTGGAATTTTTTTCAATTTGAAATTTTGAAAGAATATCATAATTCCCTTTCGAAAATATTTATATATAAAAACGAAACTTTACAATTCTAATTCTTGGTTTATGTCAAATATCATTTTCCAAAATTTAGGTATTCGAAAATTGGTCATCATTGATATCAATAAACTAAAAAAATTTCAAATACGAACATTTTGATTAAAACTTGAAAATATATTAAGTAAATTAAAAAAAAATATATACAAAATTCGAATATGATTTTCCAAAAAATATATATTCGAATTTTAGTCATCATTTGAAAAAAAAACTTGGTTTTTATTTTCAAAAATTTAACTTTGTAAATTCGAATATAATTTTCGAAAATACATATTTTACAATATTCGTATATCATTTTTGAAAACTCGTGTATTCTAAATTTTTGTTATCATTGAAATTAAAAAAAAAAACACACATTTTTAAATGCGAACATCATCATTAAAATTAAAAAAAAAATATAATAATAATAATAAAATTGAATATTTTTATCAAATATTCGACAATTCGAAATTTGGTTAACATTTTTTTTCTAAATTGGAAATTCGAATTTTCGAAGATATTTTATTAATTTGCATATTATTTTCGAATTTTAACAACTCCAATTGGCTGAATTTTTTTACATGTTTTCATGATCGAAAGTTATCAAAATTATTAAGTTGAAAATTTAAAAAAAAATATATCGTAATAATTTCAATATGAAAAATTTGAAATTTTTTCGAACACAAATTTTCGAAATTTTTTCGAACACAAATTCTCGAAATTTTTTCGAACACAAATTTTCGAAATAATTATAATATTAATACTTCGAGCTTAATGATTTTCACATGCATTATCTAATTTATGATTCGAATGTTCGAAAGTTAGGTCGTTTATGACTTTTCAATGATTTTCGAACATTTGTTCGAATTTTAATTTTTATATTTTTTAATATTTTTTCGAATGTGTTAATTGTTTAAAAACAATTTTTGTAGAATTTCCAAATATGTTCATGTTCGAATTTTCGAACATTCAACAAAACTAATTGCAATGTAGAGGCTTGGCATGATGATGATGATGGCAATTGTTGGATGACTGAGTTGTGGGTGGATGGTGAGATGGAGGAGGAGGAGTTAAAATTCAAATTCAACAATCATTCCATGAGGTGGTTATAACAAAATGGCGCAAAAAGCAATAACAACAAAATGGTAAAAAATTCAAAAAATTATCAATTTCTTTTTTGGGATATTTACAGGTCCATTTTCATCCGAGGAGTCCACATCCATTTTGTAGATACACGTTGCCGCCTTGCGTTCGAGAACGTTTAAGATGTTGTTCCCCACCGCTGCTACCGTCGACGACGAAGATGAGGCCGCCGCTGCCGCTGCTGTATTGGAGATGTTTGCAGCTGTAACTGCGGAACCCGCTGCAGGACCTGCACCAGCACCTCCACTGAGTGATAAATTCAAATCGGTTTTATTTTTATGGGGTTTGGTATTGAGAAATACCCGTTGTACGACACCGGGTCCAATGCCAATGCCACCACCGCCACCAATGAGTGCGGCAACACCTGAAGGACCGCCACAACCAAGACCAATGACACCACCGCCACCGGTACTACTCACATCCGACGACAGAGTGGAGGATGAGGCCAAGGCCGATGGTGAAGCGGATGATGTTATTGACGACGACGAAGAAGACGATGAGGAGGAGGATGATGTGGCGGAGACATTCGACGCTACCGAACTCCAAAACGATTGGGCCACGCTACCGGCCGCCCCTGCAATGTTGCCGACCACACTTTGGGCGCCACCACCAACACCCCCGCCGCCAACGACGCTAAGCAATTTGCGATTGTTGTTGTTGCTGCTGCTGAAGCTCAGATTCAAATTGAATGAACGTTTTGTTGTATTGGAATTGTTGTTGTTCTCACGCTGTTGCGGATCACTGGAACGCTGCTGCTGCTGATGATGATGACGCGGTGATGATCTAAGGGGAAATATTAATTCTTGACTACCACCACCACCTTCGCTGGCTGTGGTGCTGAGGCTGCTGTCGCCGCCCACACTGTGGGCCTCGACAGAGCCGACGCTAACACTTATGCTACTGCCGCCGACACCGAGCAGGACGGCATCACCACTGTCACTGCCATTGCCAATGCCAACATGACCATCACCATCACCACCACCACCTACCACACCCACACCAACACCATCAACACTTTCCATGTCATCGATTAGGGCATTATTTGCACTACTACCGACGTCACCGACGCCGCCGCCTCCTGCGCCACCACAACCAACACTGCCGGCAGCACTGCTATTATCGAAATTGGAATTATTTTGGATAAACATTTAAAAGGAAGAAGATGAAGCCCAAAACGAAAGGGTCGACGATCGACGGATGGGTTGAATTATTTTTATTTGTAATTTTTTTTGGAGCCCCAGTAATTTTTTCGAAATTCTATTTTTAATTTTTATGTTGTTGTTATTTTTTTTAAATCTAAAAATATATTCAAAGTAAATCCATTAGATATTGAGATAATAATTTGAAAATGTGAAAATCTATTTGAAAATGATTATTTTTTTTTATTTTCTGAGCGGGATCATGTCAGGAGGAATCGATCGTTTTTTGTTGGTAATGATGGTGGAGGAATTGGTTGATTGATTGGTGGTAAAGAGGGTAGATTTATGCAAAAAAATGCTGAAATAAAACTTAAGAGGTAATTTTCAAAAAGAAAAAAAAAATAGAAATCATGACATGGCATGTCCAATTTTTTTTAAAAAAAAAGTGTAAAATACATGCAATAATTAAACATTTTTTAAAATTTTTTTAAAAATATTTTTTTCAAGACTTTTTTCAAGGAATATTTTTTCCAAGTACCAACAGAGGCGTGGATTTTTAAAAGAATTTGTTTTCAAGGACCAACAGAGGCGTGGATTTTTAAAAGAATATTTTTTAAGGTCTATCAGAGGCGTGGATTTTTAAAAGAATATTTTTTAAGGTCCAGCAGAGGCGTGGATTTTTAAAAGAATATTTTTTCAAGGACCAGCAGAGGCGTGGATTTTTAAAAGAATATTTTTTCAAGGACCAACAGAGGCGTGGATTTTTAAAAGAATATTTTTTAAGGTCCAACAGAGGCGTGGATTTTTAAAAGAATATTTTTTAAGGTCTATCAGAGGCGTGGATTTTTAAAAGAATATTTTTTAAGGTCTATCAGAGGCGTGGATTTTTAAAAGAATATTTTTTAAGGTCTATCAGAGGCGTGGATTTTTAAAAGAATATTTTTTCAAGGACCAACAGAGGCGTGGATTTTTAAAAGAATATTTTTTCAAGGACCAACAGAGGCGTGGATTTTTAAAAGAATTTGTTTTCAAGGACCAACAGAGGCGTGGATTTTTAAAAGAATATTTTTTCAAGGACCAACAGAGGCGTGGATTTTTAAAAGAATATTTTTTCAAGGACCAACAGAGGCGTGGATTTTTAAAAGAATATTTTTTCAAGGACCAACAGAGGCGTGGATTTTTAAAAGAATATTTTGTCAGGGACCAACTGAGGAGTGGATTTTTAAAAGAATATTTTGTCAGGGACCAACTGAGGAGTGGATTTTTAAAAGAATATTTTGTCAGGGACCAAATTTTCCATTTAGCACACATTACTTCCATAAGTACCCTCTTCAAACATCTAACAAAACTTCATTCATACCCGATCGTACACCCCACACAATGATTCAAATTTCAGGATTCCAACTCGATTGGTTCACCCGGAATTTAAATTGTACCAAATTTAGTACACAGTAGTACCAATTTCCGACAGTGATTCTGAACCCAAGTTTCAGGATTCCAACTCTATTGGTTCACCCGCAATTTAAATTGTACCAAATTTTGTACCCAGTAGTACTAATTTCCAAAATTTCCTAAATACCCCAACCATACACCCCGACAGTGATTCTGAACCCAAGTTTCAGGATTCCAACTCCATCGGTTCACCCACAATTCAAATAGTACCAAATTATGTACTCAGTAGTACCAATTCCAAAACATCCTATATACCACAATCCTACACCCCCACAGTGATCCTAAATCCAAGTTCCAGGATTCTAACTCTATCGGTTCACCCACAATTCAAATTGTACCAAATTGAGTACTCAGTAGTACTAATTTCCTCACTCCCACAGTGATCCTAAATCAAAACTTCATGATTCCAACTTTCCCGGTTGACCCACAATTTAAATTGTACCAAATTTAGTACACAGTAGTACGAATTTCCAAAACTTCCTACTTAACCCAAACCAACACCCCCACAGTGATTCTAAATCAAAACTTCATGATTCAAACTCTATCAGTTCACCCACAATTTATATTGTACCAAATTTAGTACACATTAGTACAGATTTCTAAAACTTCCTACATATTTCTATCTTACACCTCTACAGTGATCCTAACTCCAAATTTGATGATTCTAGCTCTATTGGTTCACCTAAAATTCAAATTGTACCAAATTTAGTACAATTTAGTACCCATAAGTATTAATGTTTTTAAACTGAATCCTGACCCTAATCCTACATTCCTACAATGATCCTAACTCCAAATTTCATTGTTCCAGCTCTATCGGTTCACCTAAATCCAAGTTGTACCAATTGTAGTACGATTTAGTACTATTCGTACACATAAGTAAAAATTTTTCAAAACTACGTACATATCCCAATCCTACACGCCGACGGTAATGTACTTTCAATTTTCAGGATATCAGCTCGATTTGTATATCCAAATCTAATTTGTACCAAATATAGTACCATATAGTACTTTTCGTCCATATGAGTACACGCTTTCCAAACTCTCCTCATATCGACCCTACTTCTCAGTCTTAATTCGCATTCCAAATTTCAAGGTTTTAGCTCTATCCATTCGCATGCTATGAGAAATTGTACCAAATTTAGTACATTTTAGTACTTTTCTCGCATATATATAGTTCGAATTTTCAAAAAAAAAAACAAACTTTATTGCACACTTCATTAGTAACCCTTATATACAATTTAAGAGTTCTAGCTCTACCGGTTCGCCAAATACAAATGGTACCACATTTAGTACTTTTCGTGTCGTTCTAGTACGAATTTCCAAAAACCCAGCCTTATCTAACACCCTTGGACCAAGAGTGACCCTTATCCCAAATTTCAAGATTCTTTCCAGATCCTTTTACCTCTTGAAGGGTCTGATGGCAGTTGGCCACCGATATCTTGTAATTTTAAACCTTGCTACTTTTTTTTCTTTGGGGTCACATTAAAGAGAAGGTATCGGACCACAGTCCAGAGTCAAAGGGAAAGTATCGGCCCACATCCCAGAGCCAGATTCAAGAGGAATTGAATTCTTGAGACTATCAAGGACACAGTGCAGCCAAAAATAGCCATCCAGTCTATGAGTTTTATTTTTTTTATAGAAAAAATGTGTTTTCTGCCCTGACATTTTTTTCCGAGTCCAACATTCTGTGATCCGAGTTTTATTTTGGAAACTTTATGTCTGAGTAAAAAATGTTATTAGTCAGTATTATTTTGAATGAAATCCCCATATCCGAGCTACTTATCAGATGGCGCCATCTGTTAATGGCCATAAAAAGAAAGAGATGAGACCGACAACGATACAAACCCAACCTCAACCACTAACCACAACCCAACCGAATCCATCCATCCATCCGTCACACAATGAACTCTCAGTTGAATTAATCAAAGGCGAGGAGGAGAAGGTGGTTGGTGTGTGTGTGTGGGGGTGGGCGTGGGAATTCAACGACCTTAGATCGTGCGATGTGCGTTGCATTTTTTTATTGCAAAAATTTTTGAAAATAAGAAGATGGAGAAGAAGAAAAGGGGCAAAAAGAGGAGGAAGACCGTTGCAGGAACAAAGCAAAACTCATATCGAAGTGAATTTTGTTTTTGTTGTCTGCGGGAAACAAAGAAATGATACCTCACCACCACCACCTAGACCCCCGAAAAATGGATGGTTGGGATGGTTGGCTGATAACGCCGAAGTTTTTCCCAATTAACAGCAGCAGCAACAACAACAATAGCAATAATCCCAACACAAACAGGAAAGAATTTCAATTTATTTTAAAATTAAAGACAATGAACGAACAACCGAATGGCTGAATGAATGAATGACTCTGGAACCATACATTGTCAACAAGACCCCCTCCTACCAATATCCGAACTTCTGTTGTTTGTTCAATTTTTTAATGTTATTTGTTAATGTCTGTCTGCCTGTCTCGGAACTATGCAATCAAGCATGATCTGACCAACGTCAACACATTTGTCCCATCCGACTGTCTGTTCGTCCCTCTGTCTGTCCCTCGTTTTATTATCTCTATTCTGCTGTCTTTGTTGTCTGCTGTAATCATCGCCATCATCATCATCCGCATTACTTCGTAGATTCATAGCTCCATTACCGAGGCGGGAGAGATACCAACCAACCAGTCTGCCATCCAGCCAGCCATTCAGAGTAAATAAAGACCACCAGAATTTATGGCAAATGAATAGTCAGTTAAGAGAACGGAGTTATGAGTCTAGCCATCTGGACGCCACCATCATTGCACCATTAAAGGGATTTACTACTTCGGAACAATGACTCAAACAAATCAGAACCTAAACACCAAGCAATTCTAATTAAAATGATGCATTTTTGAGGAGGGAGGAGGGGGAAATAACAACATTTGTAATTTAATTCAGTCTGCTGAGATTCGAAATTTTGTCTATAACAAAAAATTAAAGCCTTTATTAAAAAACCAGTGAGCGGAGCAGTATAGTCGGACGGGGCCGACCATATGATACCCTACACAACTTCCACGAAAAACTAACTTTCTGTGGATCTATATTCTGAGCTTGAACCATCGATATTTGAACCATCGATATTTGAACCATCTGGACCAACTAGAGGCCGACAATTATTACTAATGCTCAGTACAGCCCTTCTAATTACTTGTCCAGATTCCCTTCCCTTGTGTTGTGATGTTCTTATTCCCTTTGGAGCCTATAGATCGACTCGAAAAAACACAAAAAAATAAGTTTTCGGTCCACTTCATTACAATATTATTATCTGATCGTCACCGAAAAATGGAGGCGTTATCCTTGACCATAACTGGAACTTCATGGAACATTTTAAAGCGATCAGCGCTATATTTCCGCCCTCTAGTGTTGTAAAGGGTTATTAAATAATATCTGAATACATAAGCACCTCCCACATTTGAGTACATACGACCATATAATTGGTATCAATTTAAAGGTAAACCACTGGCCTTGTATATACCAACAACTTTTCGGGTCTATGTCCTTCAGGGGTAAATATATACGCTATAGAATACAAATTTT